TTGTCAGCAGTCACATCATCAATAAATACAAGAGAACCAGTTCCACTGGCAGCCATACATGGCCATGACATAACAGTACCTCCACCATGCTTCACTGATGAGGTGATGTGCTTTGGATCATGAGCAGTTCCTTCCCTTCTTCCTTCTCTTGTCTTCCCATCATTCTGGTAGTTGATCTTTGTTTTATCTGGCCATAGTATGCTGTTCCACAACTGTACATGCTTTTTAGATGGTTTTTGACAAACTCTAATCTGGCCTTCCATTTTTAAGGCTAACCAATGGTTTGCATCTTGTGATAAACCCTCTGTATTTATTCTAGTGAAGTCTTGTCTTGCTTACAAGAGCAGCAGGATGAAAGCTGAAGTGTTTGGGGCACCATTATCTGCTCAGATTCAATTAAATGCTTCAAAACTCATTGGACGATGCTTCACAGTGCAGATGGACATTGACCTGAAGCATATTGCAAAAGCAACCAAAGACATTTTTAAGGCAAAGAAGTGGAATGTTCTGCAATGGCTAAGTCATATCATCTGACCTGAATCCAATTGAGCATGCGTTTCTCTTGCTGAAGCCAAAACTGAGGGCAAAACACCCAAAACACAAGCAGGAAGTGCAGACGGCTACAGTAAAGGGCTGGCAGAGCATCACCAGGGAAGAAACCCAGCATCTGATGATGCCTATGTGTCCAACACTTCAGGCAGTCATTGACTGTAAAGGATTTGCAACCAAGTATTAAAACTGACTGTTTAATTGATGATTATGTTAGTTTGTCCAAATACTTATGAGCCCTTAAAGTCGGGGGACTGTGTGAAGAAATGGTTGTAATTCCTACACGGTTCATGCTACATTTTTGAAAAAAGCCTTAAATGAAAGCTGAGAGTCTGCACTTTAAGCAGGTATTCATTGTTTCATTTAAAACCCATTGTGGTGGTGTACAGAGCCAAAATGATAACAACTGTATCATTGTCCAAATAATTATGGACCTGACTGTATGAGAACATTACATTTTGGGTTTGCTGCACCTTATACTTTAATATGCTTAACTTGGACCTGTTGTCCTCGTCTGTGGACACTTTTATGCTCAGTCTGCAGCCGATCCTGACACAAAAGTGGACAAGGTACAAAATCAATGAAATTTTCTGGTTGAAATCTTGTTTAGTTGTGCTTAATAACATTTCTAGTTTTATAGTGCATACAAATTTGACCAATTTTAGCAATACTAAAAAGCCAGGACGCTGTTAATTAAAATGTACTCGTTTGAGGATATTTGGAATTTATTACTGTATTATCGCAGCATTTTATATCGGCCAATCTGGTGTGACAGACTGTTCCTACAGTCAAAAAAAAAAAACCCCATCCCGAGCTTGGAGTGTGGAGCAAGAAAAAATTCATTCAGAGCTACAAAATTATTTGCAATTTTGTTTTGCACACCAGGGGCGTCAGTGGCTTGATGGTGGAACGGGCGCCCCATGTGCAGGGCTGTTGCCGCAGCGGCCCGGGTTCGAGTCCGGCCTGTGGCCCTTTGCTGCATGTCATCCCCCCTTCTCTCTCTCCCCCTTTCACACTTACCTGTCCTGTCCATTAAAGGCAAAATACCCAAAAAAAACTTTATAAAAAAAAAACAATTTGTTTTGCACACCTGTGTTCAGGCAATTAAATGAACAGTTACAGGGCGCATTCACACCAGGATAGTCTGGGGGACTCGGTTCGATTGGGCGGGGAATGTCAGAAAATTTCGCACCTTCATTTGGTTCGGTTCACTTTCACACTGCACTTTTTAGAGCGGACCAAACCGCCTGGACAAAGTCATGCAGTTACAACAGCTGCTCGTCTGGGGGAGGTATTGCCAGAAACGACCACTGACCAGGAAGAAAGAAAAGCACGAGGAAGAAGAAAACCCAGCTCATCAATTGGCCAGGACCGAAAACGGAAAGCCATCCCCTTCAGCTGGCTTTGTCACCACAAAAACACCAAAATGCACTGTGCTCTACATCACATCCTCTCTTTGGTTCGCTGGATAGTCCGTTTGCATTTCCCACTATAAGCATACCGCACCAGGGTTCCCTTGCAAGTGATCTGAGAACCCCAGTTTTCAACGGACCAGGGTTCGCTCATTTGCTATTAAAAATAAACCCATTGTCCTTTTTTTTTTTCAAAAACTACTTCCTGTTCAAAGATAATGATTTTTTTTTTATACTTGTCAGGTCCTACTAATCGGTGGGGTCTCAGGAGGTTAGTATTTGCTATAAGATCATTTTCACATTCAGGGCCTCCAGTTTTATCAGCAGGCTTTTATGCAACTTTTGACATTGTTCTTTAAATAGAAAATATGAAATTGGACTTCAGAGGAAGGATGATTTTCATACTCTCAGTGCAGCTAGTCTAATGATTAGGCTGTAACAATTATTTTTACATGAGTCTTCATATTAAAATGTTTCCTGCCGAGTGAAATCCCTCCCGAGGTAGACCTGGTTTGGCTTGATCATCACCTCGTGGCGCCCTGTTGTCATGGCAGTTTAATAACGAGTATTATCTGCCATATGAAACAATAACACACATCCCAATTATAAACCGTAGCAATTCCCACAGACTGCTTTGCTCTCCATCACATCAGGCAGCAAATTAAAGCCTCCAAGAAAAAAGAAAAGTGCTTGCAACTTTGCAGTAAGATGCGTGTGGAGACTAATAATTTGTGCAAAAAAAAAAAAAGATTGCTTAAGGCATACATGCTTTTAATAATGTATTACAACTTTCTTCTCTGTGACTTAAAGTTTTAAACTTCATGTGCAAGCATTCCCTGTTGGCAGAGCAGATAAATGTCTCCAGCACAGAGATGGAGGCTGAGTGCAGCTGGTGGAGAGATACGGGCGGGGGGAGGCGATAAGCTCCCAGCTCTCGCCTCCATATCACGGCAGACAGTCGGCTCTATCATCGGCGCCCTGGCTGCTACATACAGAAAAAGAAAATGGCGCAGAGACTAAGTCCTCAGCCCCAATTCTGCCACTTTCGGCTCCAAAATTCGCTGCAATTGCACGTCCGTATTATCAACCTGAAGCATGCAAAATAGACACGATGCCAGGCCCTCTCGGAATACCCCAGCAGACTAGAAAAACAAGGGTGGCAAGTGTTCATTAGAGACCCTCTTTTTGAACAATAGCCGCAAGAGAGTGGAGGAGAAGGGACTTAGTCTCTGGGACGCCATTTCTGTCCTTTAAAAACTAACAGTAGACAGATCACGATTCCGACTGTTAATCAGAGTCAGTATGAATAAAAATCCCCATCAGAGGACCTACCGCTTCCTTTAGATCCGGAGTTGACCTAGAAAATGTGAAAAAATATGATTTCAATATTTCAATTTTGCAAATGCCGGTAGCTCGGTTATTCAAGTTTCAATTTGCATACAAATGCATCCTAGAAATACAAGTATGTTGCTACAATAACACGCAAACACTGCACATGATTTCAAAGTTCTCGCTAAAATGGGAAAGCAGACAACAGCGCAACTTATTAGGTTTCTTAACCGTTATTTCATATCATGATGATTAATACTCGTCAGTTATGTCAGTTATTAATAATTTGCACGAGCTGACCCCCGAAAAAAAACATGAATGTTGTCCAAGAGGTACCTGTGAGTCTCCATGTCCATGATCTCCGCTCATGGTCAAGTTGTTTGTGTTTATAAAGCAGGTGAAGTTGCCACAGCAGGCAGCTGTTCAGGATGCAAGGCTCAGGGAACCCTCACTGACACACTGGAATGGAGTCCCAGTGTTTGCCGACTGCGCATGCGCACACCGACCTGAGAGCCGAGAAAATACTCTGCGTGGTCCCTACCTGAGCCACTATCAAAATGTCAAGTCGGTTACGTCAACGCGGACGCTTTAACCTTTCAAATTACACTCATTATTATTTTATGACATGACCTGGAGCATCATATTCTGTCAGTGTTTGACTCCTCTGCTCCTAAATGGAGTCCTGACTGTTTACATCACACTCCACCTCCTACAAGTGCTTATCAATAATACAGTGCTTTAAAGGGACAGTTCAGATTTTTTTGAAGTGGGGTTGCATGGGGTACTTATAGTCATTGAATTACATACAGTACATACACCAATCAGCCAAAACATTAAAACCACTGACAGGTGAAGTGAGTAACATTGATCATTTCATTACAACGCAATGTTCTGCTGGGAACCCTTTAGTCCTGGCATTCATGTGGTAGCCCCTTTACACACTGCCATGGGGGGGGTGTATTGGTCTGTCATGTCGTTTGGGTGGGTGTAGCATGTCAAGTGGCACCGGCATGAACGGCAGGAGCCAAGATTCCTCGAAAGAACATTGCACTGTAACAAAATAATCAATGTTACAAATGTTCGTGGTTTTAATGTTTTGGTTGATCGGTGTCTTTAGCTTTATCTTTCCGTCAGACAACCCGTTCCAACAGGGGACGCCAGCTTCAGTTCCCTATCTATGCTCTCATCGAAGCTACCAGACTCCACTGACAACAACAGTAATTTTGTCTCGCTGAACACCGGGGGGCTGCTGGTCTACTGCTGCCTCAATCAGCTGGTGGGTCAGTTTTATTGTGTGACTTTGGAAAATACAAACTAACCCCTTTAAAAGCCAATGTCGCACAATGACAAGAACAAAATAACAGATGGAGGCAGCGGTAGACCAACAGCTCCTGTGTTCAGAGATGTAAAATCAGTTTTTCCTCAAGTGGTTATAAAGAGAGTGATGTAATAGCTTCAGTACCTTGTGGAAATCACTTTCCGATAGCAATGTAAAGCAGTGAAAATACCCTCAATATAGTGTACACTTTAAACTTGATTGTTTTAAGTGTGACTCTTTTTAGGTGGCTTAACAAACGCTATGTTGCTGACCGATTTAACTTCTGTTTTACGATGGATAAGTTACTCATACAACCCCACTTCAAAAGATCTGAACTAGCAAGCTGAGACTGATCAACAACCTTGGGACAAAACTGGAATCATGTTACACTGTTTCACAGAACAAAAAGCAGTAGAAAATTTAATTCAGTTTTACAACATAATTATACAATCGTGACAAGCTCCATTATCAGTCTTCACATGATTAATCCAGCATTTAATATAAAAAGCACATTCACACAAACACATACTGTATTGCACACATTCTAACTACAATCTCACATAATAGCATGGACAAAACAATAGCATGATTCTTTTTAAAACAATCTGTACATGGTTTCTTCCTCCACTGAAAAGTCATAGTCTGGGACAGAGAAACCGGTATCAATTGATTCACAGCGGGAAACAAAAACATTTACAGTACAGTTCACAGGTTGCCACAACTGCAGCTGTGCCTATTTAGACTTCCTTCGTTTGGCCTGGGTGGGGCTGGCTCCAGTTTCTGTTAAAAGGAGTGTAGAAGTGTATGAGGAATAAGGTAGTATTGACATGATAGGCACAGTGATTGATGTTCTGTCTTATAAAGAAGCAGTGTGTAAGATTCATAGGAGTAAGTCGCATCTAGTGAGGAAGACTGCAGACTGCAACCAGCTGAAACTTCTCCAGTGTGCATAAAGAAAACTCCCGCTCAAGATTCCTTAAGTGTCAATTGTTGAGGTTTTTTACAGTGAGCCAAATTATCTGCACTGGTCTCTTTCTCTCAAAAACAAACAGAGCTGGGGACTTGGCAGCAAAATCACTGAATAAAGCAGTTTCATATTACAAATCAGTGTTTCTCCGATGCTGTTTGGCACGCTGCTGACAGGCCATTAGCCCAGCGCCTACTAATGTTTGCTCACCTTTTGTTGTGCTCTGACAACTTAAGATCCAGATGTTCTGATGTTGTTGTTTTTTGACAGTAGTTTACAAAGCAAAACATAAAATAAACTACAATAGTCTTTTGTACCTCCACGAAATCAGGTCGTAAGGGTCTTACGTACAAGAAAAAGTAATCTTTTCCATATCATAAAAATAATTTAAAATATATCTATCCACTCCTCTAATGTGGGGGGTTCAGGAAGCAACCAGCGCTTTGTGAGGGCTTTTTTGCAAGCAGATATCTAAATACCAAACATATGTCAGAACGCTTTGCCTTAAAATCCATACATCCTAAATATAATGTAGAAAATTGCAAAGGAAGATCAGCGTTGAGTATCTTTGTAATTGCTTTATGAAGTTCTGTCCAGAAAGGTCTGATCACTGGACACTCCCAGAACACATGCCAGTGACTGGCCTCCTGAAACCCACACTGTCTCCAGCACTTGGCGTGTAGGTTTTTATCGGGAGCCAAGTTATCTGTAGCGGTCTCTACCTCTCCAAAACAAATGGACTGGTGATATAAACCAGTGTAACACTAATTAATGTTTCAACAACACTTTTGTCACAGAGGTGCTGCCAAATACGGTGGCTGACACGAAAACGTGAGTGGCCCTATCTACAGTCAATGTACCGTTTGTCCGATCTGGGCTACTGTAGAAACATGGCAGAATAATACGGTGGACTCAGTGGAAAAGGACCTGCTCCCTAAGTAGATTTAAATGGCTCAAATCTTATTGTAAGTTGATTTAACACTAAAAAACATTATATTGTGTTCAATTTCTGCCAAGATATCCTATTAAATCTTACACACTGGACCTTTAAAGCTGCGTATGTTTTTAAGTTACCTTTCACAGCAGCACTGGTTCCAGGCCTTGCTGATCTCTTCCTAATGCCGCTGTCTGCTACTGGCTCCTCCTCCACCTCCTTCTCTGCCCGGGAGCTGCGTCTGCTCGGTCCCTTGGGCTTCTCCACAGCCGCCCTGAGAGGACCAGATAGAAAAACAACAAACAGCAAGGAGGGAAGGACGACACAAAAGATGTGTTACTAAAGACGCAAGGGCATGAGTTAACTCTGCTCTACTCAGAGAAGGATATAATACCACGCTGGACTCTTGCTGTTTTTCCTCGTCTACCACAGATACTGTCCGTCTTCATCCCGACAGCATCCACTACGTCGACATGATCACTGCTTGTGTCTTTGCAGTGCAAACATTAAAATACATACCTTGGGACTAAGTTGATGGGCGTCTTTCTTTTCTTTGCCCATCTGTGATAGAAGTGGAAAAACAGCGGTAAACTATAAACTGTGCTGAACAAACATGGCTTCACTTCCCCATCATATAATTACAAACCCCAGGAGAGAAAAAAATGTGGCTATAAGGGTCAGTGGAGTGGTGCAAATTTGCTTGGTGATAGGCTCTTCTTTGTTTAAACTTCTGACATGCATTAGTATATTTATATTGTTGCATGCCAATCATACATACCAAGTGCTGAGGCCACGTGGCTCATTGTTTTCGCCATATACCTCCTTGGCCAACCAAATGAATTCCCTGAGTTTCAGTAGAGTTAGAAATATCTAAGCATTTCTCCTTCCAGAGTGCAGGTCTTAAGACTAGGCCAACTTTTCAGAGATCAATAGTAAGGGACACCTTAAGAGACCCCAGCACACAAAGCATCACCCAGCTAATCAACAATACAGCTGTCGAAAGAACACAAATGTTATAAGGAGTCTTACCCTTGCTCGGAACCTGTCGAGACCTCTTCACCTGAACGGGACAGGAAATAAGTTATTTCTGTGCCACCTAGTTCCAAGTGGCATATGGAATTGTTCTTTGAAACACAAGTATTTTTAACTTCTTAAAACAAAAATGACCACACTTACCTGTCTTCTCACTGGCAGCAGGTTCCTGGGACTGTGGGACTTCTTGTTGAATAGGTGCTAGGGACAAAGGATTATATAGTTCAACACTCGCATTTGAATATGTGCAACAAATTTTAGTTATAGTTAGGAATATGTATCACTGACTACGTTTAAATGCACAGCACAGTCCGAATAAGGCCTTTTTTTTTTTTTTGGAATGAAGCATTTTCTGATAAAGACGTGGATATGCTGATATTATTCAGGTTTTAAGAGCGTTCTTTGGACATGTGAAGAGTGCACTGGAACGGTGCATCTCAACTGGGGTTTTTACTGCAGTTTGTGACACACGGCCTCTTGTGTTTTGTACAAAAACAAACTAACCATAAGTTTGCAAGGCTCTGGTAAAGATGCATTCTCAAAAGAAAAGCTCACATTTCTGGTCAGAAGGAGAGACATGCCTACTTTTTTGGACCCCAACAAGTTTTTGGATGTGCGCAACTACCGCAAAACCGACCTTTTCAAGACGTGGTGGTTGAAGGAATGAAAGAGGAAGGTGGTGTTCCCATGGTAAACAGCTTAGTAATAATATTGACTTTTTTTGGAGTAAGGACAAGAATGTAATATTTTGTGCATGTAAACGTAGTCACTGATTGCTAAACTAAAACCACACAGATGGTGGTTATATTATTGTATATAAGGTGTGATGCAGAAGGCTTGTGCAACTGTCAGTCCTCTATTATCACCACCAGTTAGCAATGTTTTTTTTCCTTTTTAAACAAGAAATATCAGGAATACCAAATGTTCTATGTAAATATATAAACCAAGGAAAGATTTAAACTTCACGTTGCCTGATACTTGCTTGAACAGACCAAGGATCATGGCTTTAATATGGTCATTATTCTGTTTACTTGATAGGTTAATCAATAAGGCTTGATAGGCGTTTACCTGGGGTGGTCTGAGTGGTTTCAGCAGATGCAGCAGTTGGTGGCATGGGGTTCTCTGTAGCCGGGGGGTCCGACTGAACTTGTGGAACTCCGTTGGGGTTAGCAACAGGAGAGGATGTGGTTGGGGTAACCTCCAGAGCAGATCCAGATCCAGCAACAATTGAAACAATGGACGGTACAGGACTTTGTATAGGAGCAACCGTAGAGGGCAAAGTAGCAGAGGAGACACCAGTGGTAGCACCAACTACAGTGACAACAGGAGATTGAGAGGTTACAGCCTGGGCCTGGCTAGAGACTGCAACTGGTGCAGGCACTGGAGCCTGAGTAACAATCTGAGTAGGAACAGCCACTTGGCCAGGGACTGGGATTGGAGAGGAGGCAGCAGGTGAAGTGATGTTGTTTGAAGCAGCAGTAGCAGTAGTAGTATGGGGAGCTAGTGCGTCAATCTGAATGGCAGGATTAGCAGGAGGATGAAAGACCTGTTGAGGCACAGCCCCAGTGGGCCCCTGCGTAGGCCTTTCTGCAGGACTCTGCTGGGAATCAGTTGGACCAGAAACAACTGCAGCAGGCTGTGCGGATTTACTTTTCACTTGGGCAGTGGGAGATGGAGACATGGGACTCTTTCGAATGGTGTTAGCGGCTCCAGGGCTAGAGCAGAGAGGAGGTGAAGCTAGGGGTGGCTGAAAGGGAGATGATGTTGCAGGGCTTGGATGGGGAGATGGCTGCTGGACTGGGGGACTAGGTTTCTGAGCAGAACTGGTCTCACCTAGATTTTCTGTTTTGGGAGCCCCTGGGTTAATTTGCTGAGGAGCTGGGGGAGTTCCAACTGGGACTGATGAGGACACGCTAGTGGCAAGCTGGATCTGTCCAACAGCACTTCTGACAGGCTGAGCACTGGTCATGTTAGTCCCTGAGGACTGGGTGGAGCTTGGGGCAGGAGAAAGTTGGATGTTTGTAGTGGACACTTGTATAGGCCCAACCATGGTGACTGACTGTGATACCATAGTGGTATTGGGAGTCACAGATGCACCTGGGACCTGGAAAATTGGGTTGATAAATACAGGGGTGGTGAGAAACTGAGGAGGTCGGGGGACTGGGGCCTGCTGCCGGATGTCCTGAGGTCTAATGTTCTTGTTAGGGACAGCCACCATGGTGGATACCATAGATGTGGGTGCCTGAGGAGTAGGGGCAGAGGTGATGGGGTTAGAGGTGACAAATACAGTGATCTGGTTGGGGGAAATTGTGCTAGAAGAGGCAGGGATCTGTATAACTGAGTGAACACTTGTCACAGGTTTAGGACTGGGGCTTGGTTTTAGGGAAGAGGTGGCAGGGTTTAGAGCAGAGCTGGAGTTAGAACTGGTACTAACAACTGAAACAGAACTGCTTTGACTGGAAGTGACTTGGTTGGGGCTTACACTTGTGGTGGCATTAGTGTTAGTACTGAGAGTGGGGCAGAGGGAAGGTGTTGGGTTTACATTCGGACTGGGACTGACACGGGATTTGTCAGGACTGGCGACAGGATTCTGGCTAAGGTTGGGGATAATATTGGAGGTCAAGTTAGTGCTAGGGTGCGAGCTGGAAATTGACACAGGCTGCAAATTAGAACTGCTGGTAGGGATAAGGACAGCAGGTTTGGGTTTAGCTTCCGATTCATTTACAGTGGCAGTGGTAGCAACAGCAGCAGACATGTCTGTACTCTGGGGATTACTGTGGAGTGCTCTCTCTGGCTCCAAAGCAGACTTGGGGCTGTCCTTTCCCATGACATCCCTACCAGTATTACTCTGTATGGGCCGATGAGGCATGTTAGGGATACCCGAGTTATCCAGTAACTGGTTGAGGGAGGTTGGAGCTGCCCTGAGAGAAGGCGAGGCCTCGGAGTCCTGCATAGCTGTTGTGTGTGCTGGGTGCCTATCAACTGTGCCGGCCTGCAATTCCAATTCAGGTTTGGGCTGCTGAGGCACAGGGAAACGAGGACTTGCCATTCTGGGAGCTGATAACTCCCTCAATGGCTGTGGTTGGGGTTGAGGCTGAGGCATCTGTCGCTGCTCTGCTGTCATTATTCCCTGACTTTCCCTGACTCCCTCAGCAGGGTTACCTTGCATCCCGTGGAAGGGGCACTGGGTCTGCTGTGTCTCCATGCCCACATTTACTTGTGAAGGAATAGATACTGGACTTGGCGGTACTGATGTGGGGCTTAGCATCATGGTTTGCCCTTGAGGGTTGACCAATTGCTGCTGGGGGGGAGGGCAGCTGATGGCCATCTTTGTCCCTTTTTGTCTCCCTGGACTTGGGGTGGCTGACTTGCGGCTAGAGGCTGGACTTGACCTCCGACTATTGCTAGGACTTGCCCTCTTACCCTGCCCTCCAGGCTGCTTGTCTTGTTTAGCGCCTGCTCCTCCTGCTCCTGTAGGGAAAGGCTGTTGACTGTTGTTAGTGTTACTTCCACCCACACTGCCATTGTTGTTGTTGCCTGGTAAAGTTAAGCTAGGAGGGGCCTGCCCAATGGCTTTCAGAGTTGTTGGGTTAAGACCTTGCTGATCAAATCCCCTGTTTAGGTTAGGCTGCCTGGGAGGTAAAGGAATGTTGATTTTAGGAGGAAACAGCCCTGCAATGGAGGCATTTAGCCTCTCGGGTGAGAGGTTGATTTCGGAGGGCTCAGTACTGGGTGGACGATTAGTTGGGGTGAGGGGATGGTGGTACGGCCTGGGGCTAGCTCTGTTGGGGGTTTTGGGCCTGGAGCTCTGTGAGGTTGTGGGGACATTGGGGAAATGAAGGCCAGACATGGGGCCTCCTTGCTGAGGCTGACTAGGTAACTGTTGCTGGGGGCTGGCTCCGGTGTGTTGGGGCATTGGTGATGGACCAGGACCTTGCTTCATCATATGAGTGTTGGTGCCCTGGTTAGCCATCATCTGTTGGGTCCCATTACCAGGCTGCACCCCAGTTTCTGGGCCACCAGGTCTGTCCTGCTTCAAGTGGGCCCCGGCAGAGGCCTCCTCAGATCCAGTGCCTTGAGGGCCCTGCCCTACATCAGGATGGGACATTCTTCGTGCAGCACCTGCAAGCTAGAATATAAACATGAAGAGTTTACTCCCCAGAAAAAAAAGAAGTGCACTCACAAATAAAATTCAAATCAAGAGATACAACTGTCAATTTCATGTTTACACATGCTGCAGCACATGGCCCCTTACCTGTGGGTTCACCATCAGGGGCATCCCTCTGGCTTTGTCAGGTGACGGCGGTACCCCTCCATGCCCCTGAAGGCTGATCATTACAGGCACGTTGCCTTGTTGTGACACTGGAAGCCTCTGCACCTCGGGCGGATTGCCCATGCCCCGAGGAGGAAGCTGCCCTCCTGGAGGTATGGACATGCGATTCTTTGCCTGCTCCTGCTGTATCTTCAGCATCATCATCATCTGCTGTTGTTGCTAAAATGCAAAGTGGACATCACCATTAATTATGCATACATAAACCATTAACCACTGTGTTGATACCAAACACTGAGGTACTTGATAAAAACAATACCTGCTGTTGCAGGTGTGGCTGTTGAGTTTGCTGCTGCTGCAGCTGATGCGGGTGCATCTGAGGCTGGCCTTGACCTGGTGTTTGCGGCCCTGTCATCCCCTGCTGCCCTGGAGCATTCTGGAGACCCTGCATCTGCATCTGTTGCATCTGCTGCTGTTGCTGCATCTGCTGTTGCTGCTGCTGCTGCTGTTGTTGTTGTTGTAATTGTTGCTGCTGTTGCTGTTGCATTTGTTGCTGTTGCATTTGTTGTTGTATCTGCTGCTGCTGCTGCATTTGTTGTTGTTGTTGTTGTTGTTGTTGTTGTATCTGCTGCTGTTGCATGTGCTGCATTTGTTGTTGCTGTTGTTGCTGCTGCTGTTGAGATGAGATAAAATGTTATTGTCTGCTCACATGGTAATTTGTCTTGCATCAACATGCTTTGAACAATCGGCAGAAGAACATTAAACACATCTACAAGACCACCCTCCAGCAATCATCAAAAAGATACATTATGCAACAGACCTGCCAATGGACGCCTACATAACATTCATCCTATACTCAAAAGAGATTAACCTTGTGCTAGTAGAGCAAGACAGTGGGCTCGATTGTCAATCATCAGACGCACTGCTTCTAGTCGCTTTTCTTCTTTACACCCACACCCACACCCACACACACACACACACACACACACACACCTGACCAAACCCAACCCAAGCCCAGCGGAGTTTGTTACCTGACAGTTACTGTTATGGACAGTATGTAAATGACCATCAAAAGACTGCTGTTATGCACAGACAAACACGCTGCTCGCACAGCACGGCACTGTACACACACTCAGTTGGAGCGGAGCCTGTGTTGCGTTCAGGCATTATCATGTAAATAACAACTTCCAGCACTTAAATAGATCATAGCACGAAACAGCAGCATGTCAAGTGACATGTCACCAGATGAGCAGCGCCCCCTTATTCATTCTCACCTGTTGTTGCTGCTGCTGCTGTTGTTGTTGTTGTTGTTGTTGTTGTTGCTGCATAAACTGCATGGGTACCTGCTGCAACACTCTCTGGTCTCCAGGTTGGCCAGGAAAGCCTAGGTAAAATGCAGAAAAGCATACGTGCACAAATTAGTGCACAGTATAAATGTTGAAAAATTAAGCATACTGTAATGTTGCCAGAACTTAAGAACTAGCTCTTTCTAAATAATTTACCTGCAGGCCTGTTGGCAAAATCTGGGAGTTTCTGGCTTGAGTTGTCTAAGCCCAAACTCTGTTCACCACCCAGATTTGGCAGTTCAGAATCCTCCATGCCAGCAGTCACATCAAGACCACTGTGAAAAAAAATAGATGAGGCTGTATCAATATATTTTTGTAACAGTGATATAACTTAATTCAACTGTCCACCATGGCAAAAACAAACCTGTAAGAAAGACAAATTATTACCCAAGTCCCTCTACTTGCTGTTGTCCATCTCCCTCTTTGGGCTTCTTCTTTCGTGCAGGTTTCTTCTTTTTGGGTTTGGCTTGATTGGCCCCGCCTGCTCCCTGTTTTCCTCCAGGCCCAAACTGGCTGGCTGAGATATCACTCTGCAGCAGGTTGACCAGCAGTGGGCTAGTCAGTGTTACATCCTTGCTGACGGGAAAGCCCCCTGGCTGTACACAGGGTCCCCCCATCTGCATCTGACCTGGGAACTGTGAGTTAAAGTTCATGCCATGACCTGCAAAGTGGCCATTTCCCATCTGCATGTGCTGAGGGCCTCCCATCATGCCTTGCTGCTGTGCCTGCATATCAGGGACCATCTGTTGGACCCCCAGGTCCCCTGTGCCACTATTAGGATCCCCCAAAGGATGTGGGTGTTGTTGAGCTGCCTGTTGTTGTTGAGCTGCCTGTTGTTGTTGTTGTTGTTGTTGTTGCTGCTGCTGCTGCAACATGGCCTGTTGCTGTTGTTTCTGCTGCTGTAACTGCTGCTGTTGCAACTGTTGTTGGATAAGAGGATGACCAGCGGGGAGCCTCATTTGTTGCCCATGCATGCCGATGGCTTGATTAGGATTGCCAGCGATTGGAACCTGCTGGGGCTGTTGCTGGTTCATCTGCTGGTGTTGCTGTTGTTGTTGCTGCTGTAACTGCTGTTGTTGCAGCTGGTGCTGTTGCTGCTGTTGTAACTGCTGTTGTTGAAGTTGAGCCATTTGCTGCTGCTGTTGTGGAGTCAGCTGCTGAGGGCCAACTTGGCCCTGGAATTGAGCCATGTTACCTTGAACATTTGGAGCAGGGCCACGCATCATCTGGCCAGGCATGACCCCAGCTGGAATCTTGCCTCCAAATGCCTGCTTGTTGCCTTGCATCTGGTTGGCAACCATTTGCTCCATCATGGAGTTCTGTTGTTGCTGTTGTTGCTGCTGCTGCTGTTGTTGTTGTAGGAGCATGGCCTGATGCCCTTGGCCTCCAACCATCTGACCCTGCCCATGCATCACCCCCTGGCCTTGCTGAGGCATCATTTGCTTGGGTGGGGTCATCCCTCCTCTCTGCCCTTGACTGAGGGGCCTTGAGAGGACAGTCTGACCTCCACCTTGGCCTTGAACCTTCTGGCTGGGGGAGGAGGACACGGGCTGGGCCTGATGCTGGAGGCCCATCATCTGGGTCTGGAGGCCAGGTTGTTGCTGGCCCATACTAGGCCCAGCAGTTGTACCAGGTGGCAGACCAGCCATGCTACTTTGTACACCCATAACATTGGATTGGGCATGGGGTGGACCCTGCATTGAGTTAGGTGTGGAGGCTGATGGTGGAGCTCCTGATGTAAAACAGAGAGGAAAAAAAAAATCACTAAAAGGGAAATCACAACATGCACTAAGCTCTTATGCCTTCTGCTAACTATGTTGAGACATGACCTGTCAAATTAGGCACATCAAAGCAGTTCATCAAGCCCAAATGTCAACAACCAACAGACTGCACAGCTGGAACTTAATGAGATGAGTATTAAATATTACTAGTTTTATATATGTAATAAACTGATGCACTTGGTGGCTTACCCAGTGCAATTACTTCCTTTAATACTCAAGAGCATGAGTAGTGTTTTAAAACATTATAGTGACATTCTAAATGAAGACAACATAATTTACAATATGATAGGATCACTGTGAAGTTTGTCTTAAGATACTTAATCTCAACAAGTCTATGGTGAAATGAAACATTGCTCATCTTTAAAATACTAGATTAAGCTGCGATAAAGGGCCCGAAATTTGGTCGTTCATATGGCCAGTAAACAGACAACTCAATGAAGGTCATTAATGTTAACTAGACCAGCCATTATAAACTACTGGCTGTAGCATCACCAATCCTCTGTGCTGTTGACGACAATATTTGCTGATCTCAAACTTCAGGCCTACAACTATTCATTTTGCCATTACTGTATCACCATAACTTTTAAATTAGTTGTAAGCATGGTTATTTAACACTGTTTTCTGTTTGAAAAACCTAAATACAGTAATTATGTATTTTACTAGTTCCTAGTTTGTAGTTTGTTAACATCATAGAGGACATGCAGTAGTATATACATATATATATATATATATGTATATATCAGTTAAAGAGCATATCATGAAACAAGAGAGTTTATTTTTCAAATGTAAATATCTTGCACCGGTACATGTAAAAGGGGATCTTTGCCAAAAATGTTTATGATTGCGTGAACAGCTAATCTTTTACCTGTGTGAGTCATCGCTTGGCTGCTCTGTAGCTGCTGACCGGCTCCTCCACCAGGGGTTCCTGGAGCGCTGGCACTCACCTGACCTTGGACAAAGTTTGGGTTCGGAAAGCCCATGGGACGCTTTGGCATGCCTGTAATCAGTATTCATTGATTTTGTTATTTTCGACATCAGAGTACTTAAACATAACATACTGTATTACAAGGGGCAAAACTATTTTTTTGACGTGCACTTTTAAGTCTAACAAGACACGGTTAGCGACAGAAACCCACCAGGGTGAACTTGGGCCCCAGGCTGTCCATGCTGGGGCATTCCCATGAATCCTTGTTGCATGTTACCCTGTTGGCTGAGGGCTGCTCTTCCTGGTGATCCAACGCCCTGGGGGAAACCCTGTGGTGTTGTAGGTCTCTGAGCCATCATGGGAGGAGTCCCTGGTGAACCCTGCTGAAAAGGAGACGAAGACGAACCAGGGGACTTGGCAGTGAGGTTGCCCTGCGGACCAGAAGTTGGTGGAAGGGGCGGAGGGGGTCTGGGCGGTCCTGCGACACCACCAGGGCCAGCCTGAGGGCCTTTAGGCTGGGGGGCAGCAAACTGACCCACTCCTGTCTGCTGCTGTTGCTGTAATTGTCCCTGACCCATGGCACTGAATACCTGCCCAGCCTGCTGGCTGCCAAATGGGTAAGGGGGCGGAGGGTGGCTGGGAGTCTGAACTGTTGCAAGGGAGGGTGGACGTTGAACCATTTGGGCTTGGGGTGGGGGCTTTCTCCAGGCAGGGCCTCCTTGTGCCGCTGGTGGCTGGAGGACCCCAGAGGGCAACTGGTTCCAGCCAGGAGGCACAGCCATCTGGCTCGTTGGGTTGAATGGAGGTCTAGGTCCGAGCTGGGAGAGCTGAGCTTGCTGCTGGGCTTGTTGCTGTTGGTGATGTTGTTGTTGTAGCTGCTGCAGAGCAGCAGGGTTGAGTGGTCTCCCACCCTGCAGAGCCTGCATGTGATGGGCAGCCTGAGGAGGCATTGGGCCTGAGGCATGGGGACCAGCCTGTTGGTGCTGAAGTTGCTGTTGCTGCTGAACTGACATACCTGGCATCATTGGATCCATCACATCTGTGGGAAATGGATGTTGCAGTTTTTTTTATTTTTGTATTGTCCAAGTTGAAAGATACTCAAAATTACAACATGCATCATTTGACGTACAAGAAGTAAAGACCTGAACCTGTCTGTGAAGATGGTCTTGGAACACGAGGGTGCATCTGTCCACTGCTGCCTGGTACCATAGCCTGACCTGCCATGCCAGGCCCCGGGGGAACCATTGCCGGATTAGGCATCCTTACTCCTCCTTATCAAATATGTGCATATTAAATAACAGACTAATGACATATTTATCAAGTGAGTAAACACCGAATAAAAAAATAACAGATCAATAATCACAAACTAATGCAAACAAAATACAAATACTGCTGCTACTACTACTACTACTACTAAACACCTACCGCCCAATATTCAAGCGAAGCTTCAGTCTAGTTGATATATAAAAACCATGTGTAATCACGTCATTAGACTAATACCTGGACCAGGCTGACCTGGAAAGCCAACCTCCATTCTCATCTGGCCAGGTGCTCCAATTGGTCCATTCACTCGGACTTCTTGTCCTCTATTTGGTCCCACAGCCACATTGATGGCCCCTTCCCCTAAAAATCAAGAGAGGGAACATCTATAACAAATATTTACAACAAGTGGTCTGGTTTGTATGATTTATTCTTAAGTGCCACAGACGTTAAAAGAAAAAGAAGAAGAAAAAAACACTGTCTTTTGCATCCTGTTTTGAAGTGGGAAGGAGTAAAAAGAATAGGCTGTTACCTTCGATCTGCACAGAGAGGATCCCCAGGTCTCTGAGCTGCTGCTGGTTGTTCTGGGCCAACAGTCTGAGTCGCTCTGCAGCATCCCGAGGAATGTTGAAGGTAACCCGCACACTGTTCCACGGCTCCACATGTTGTGGCTGTAGCCTCTCAGAGCCTAAAAGTTGGACAATGGATGGATACAAGTTGCAACTACAGTGTATACAAAATGGAATTTTTTAGAGACTACTGGTTAGAGACAGAAAAGGAAAGGATGGAAAAATAAAACTACTGTTGTAATATACAATAGTACACAGAAATTGTGGCATGTTTCAAATATGAAACACTAAATAACTAAAATAAGCATCCAGCTCTTGACTACACGTGCACATTTTGACTTTACAGTGTAATTTCTCATTGACCTAATTACACCCAAGAGATGAAGCAGAGGGGACTGGAGTCTTTTAACATATTCCCAAACATACAGGCGGTTTGTGATTATATGCTGACATACAAACAGTGAAGTTAAAAAAACACCTGTACTGTTTTCCCCCAATATAAATAAAAGTTAAAAATTAAACTAACCCATATCAAGCATGTTTGGTATCCCACTGAGGATAGTGTCAAGTTTGTGAGTGAAGTCCTCATCTTCCATATTCCCTTGAAATGCAACAAAAACCGTAAAATCTTCCACCTCCCCGCTGTTTTCTCCCCTGCCATCTTGCTTGTTGACTGTCTCCTCTTCTGTTACGGTGCCTCCATGGCAACTGTCAGCATCCTCCCCTGCATCCTCCCCAACACCAGAGTCCCTGTCGGAATCATTATCATGCTCCAGGTACTCTGTCCTCTGGGACAGCTGAGGTGGGGTACGTCGATGCGCCATCCTCTCCTCTTACTAGGAGTGGCGTTTGAACCGTTTTATGCTGAAATTGCACACGAGAGAGACACGGATCACTCACCCATCCCACACCACAAGTGTAACAGACAAGACACGCGAGAGATGACAATAAAATGTATACAAACAGCAGTGGAGCAGCGACTAACACTTGGACAGTGTATTAGATGCTGGGGTGGATGGGTAGCAAGGTTTCAGTTATAGCTTCAGGTAAGAAAAGGTCAAACAAAACATGTTGTTTTTTTTTTTTTTGTCAATACACGTCAAGTAAATAGATGACGTTATCACAGTAACGTTAAAGCTAACACACCACTACGTTAGCGACATCACTGCAACCGGTGATGCTAAACTCACATCAGCGCACATGTCAAACACCTACAAAGTGGACTACAAGTAGTTGGGATATCTGAAACGCTGTGCGATTTACATTAATGCCAAATCATGTTATACTGTATTAATCCATTGCCATAATCGGAGGGCAGCTTGGCTAACATGATCGGCCCAGCAGCAGGAGCACGGGCCTTAGCGCAAATGTAAGCTAACGTAACGATGTATCACACTCAGTAGGGTGAAAACAAATTCCCCTTATCCCACGTCTTTGTGCATTTTAGTGCCGATATGAACATCACATACCATTCAAATTTATACGTTTCAAGCAGTCACAACAGCATAAAAGAGGATAAATGTTAATGTCAAGGCGGCTCCTGCTGGCTTCTCCGACAGTTCCAGTTAGCAAACGTTAGCTAGGTTAGCTGGGTAGCATTGCGGTTAATTCCTCATAAATTAATCGAAACACAACTTATTAGCTTTCCGGTTCGTTAGCTTTAACGTGTTGAATATCACCGGCAATAAATTCCGCGTGAGAAAAGCAAAAACCTTACCGCATATATTCATCTGAAAATAAGTTTGACCAGTCGACATCTGCTAGCCAGATTAGCTAACAAAACATGAACCACAAAAAAAGACGTCAAGCTAGCGGAAGGACAAAATACTGTTTCCGGTTTTGCCTGTCAAATAAAATCCTTGGAAGACGCAACGTTACGTCACTTCCTTTGGCGTAAAACGAAATACTGTGGTAAAAATTATAAAATTGAAAAATTAAAAATTAACATTTAGTAGTTAACAAACAAATCCAGTCATCAAAATGCCGCCTTTGCAAAATCAAAGCTGTTATTAATATTTCCATTTAGATCCAAATTTTTTTGGGTCCTTAAATCATATCATGAGCATTTTTGTTCTACCCAGAGACTTGTTTTCATTTTTCTGAGATGAATTCAAAGTTTATAGTTTCCTGTTATTTGGAGCCATGGATGCAACTAAAATACACACACAGGCGTATTGCTGCAAAGTCTCTATATAAATGTATGCGTCAAAATCTTAATTGGTGTACACATTCATTGGACATTGACATTTGTTATTAATAACAGAAAATAAATAGGCTGTGTGAAGTTTGTAAAATATAGCAGCTCGGCTTAAAAACTCAGCCTTGTATTAGTAGTATTATCACAATTATTCTACAGTAGGTCAGATGCACCAAATGTACATGTACGGAGGAACAAAAGGACAAACATTCTTCAGCATCAGGATGTGCGTATTTTATTTCTTGGGTTTGGACAGTGCTGATTTTTATTAAAATCAGATAAAAATGCACATGGAATCAAACATCAGGTGTTGTGCAAATGCGTGCCTTAAGGCATGGTACTCTACAGTACAGGAAACAAGCATCAACAGCCATACTGCACTAATGCCCGACAACAGAAACAGTAAGGTTAAGGACAAGTTTGATTAGCCAGCATTGACCATTCTGGAATTAAATTCAACCACTTTTAGAACGCAATGCTTTACAAAACCTGTTGGTTCTTACTTCAAATATACTACCTAAAATAATTACACAAGTTCACAAAAAGTAAACATAACCTTTCCTAAAAACAGACGAATGAATGCAGCAGAAATAATGCGTGCAGCCCAACAAATGTTCCTATAAAATTAGACAGATACATTCAATCCATCTATCAAGAATCAGATTATTCCCATTCTACAAACTAATATCCCGCTCTATATTAAAAATGTTGGCCACAAACTTAAATAAGAACAAATCATGCAACAACTGAAATTTCATAAATTATATCTTTAAAAATGCATATTCTATCATTAGCAATATTTAACACCTTTGAAACTGAAGTAAGTCTTTATTTAAGGAAATCAATGAATAATTTGGAATGGTGTATTCTGTGTTAATAATAATGAAGTCTTAACATGGTCCCAAGGAGCCATTGATTGTTCGCGACAGTTAAAACTTCAGCAGCTGTACGAAACAACATCTAATCACAGTTTAACACAATATAAACAGCAGGGTAGTGAGTAGTTTAGCCTCAGTGTTCAGATCAGGACAGTCTAATTCAGGTGTGACAATGCAAGGCTTAGTCACCGGTTTAAATATTATGACTTTCACCATTCCGTGTCAAATGCAGTGGAGGAGTTCAAAAGCAGAAAGGTGGGTCTGGTGCACTGAGGAACATGCACGTGGTGCAAATGGTAGCTTAATGGTGTGGCATCATTACTTTTTCAGTTCTGCCCATTCTTGCAAAGAGTAAAATTGTTCATCATTGATGTCCCGCTCAGTACCTCACAGGCCAAAACCTGGTTCTCATTCAACATTGTGAAAATAGCTTTAAAGCCATTACACTTTTCTATTTATTTCTAACATCCACTAAGTAAATCCACTCTAAATATCTTGACTGTATTGCTTTCTTTACCTGGGATGCATCAGATCTGCATTTATGAATACTCCTCACATCTTTATGTCCTGCTCTGTGTAATAGCGGCTACAGACTTTAACTGATGCCATCAAGGGATGGAAATGCATTTCAAACACTATCTATACCGCAACTGAGCGTAACAAGAGGCTCTGTGAGAGAGCATACCAACATTGGTATGTGAGATGGTGATCCTTTGTAGGTTCTGTACGTCAGCTAAGAAAATCTATCTAAGGATCTATAGCAGATTCCTACAAAATCATCTCAGACAAAGCTGCATGTCTTTATGTTGACTGTTTTTTTCTGTCAAACACCTGTACTTTGCCATTAACTTATGCTTAGTGTGTTAGGTGATAGGCAGCCTCCTTACTTCCTCACTATCCATCAATCATACAGTGTTAGTATGGGGCAAGGGGGTGCACTACGGCATGTTGGACATAGTGAGGGCGGAGGCATCAGCACTACGGGGGTCTTTCACCCCTATGATGAGGTCATTGGTTCTTCGGGTGCCCTCCACCAACGAGAGAACGTCTCTTCTCTCTACCTTGTGACCTTTAGCCTGCAGCAGCTCCACATCTTCATCCAGAAACTCAGCTGTAGGAGAGAAAGAGGGGGATGATCTGAGGTTAGCCAGAAGAGTGGTTGTTATGTTTATCCAGGAAAAGAAAATAACACTCAAATTGAGTTCACGCAGCCGGTGTAGCAATCACGTTGTGTTCCTCTAGTCTGTCTATGAGATTCTCATTCATGCAGTTCACAGTATATTGTGTTTAAAACCAAGCCCACATCCACATCAGAGAGAAGAACATCAGATTATATGTACAGTGTTTCCCAAAGGATTTTTTTCCAGCAGCGCTGCTGAAGTCCATGAGTTTTATTTGCACCACGAGATATTTAACGCACCCGCTGACAAGAGAAAGGCTTTGAACGCATATTTATACCAAGCGACAACCTCTGGGGCTGAAAAATAAAGCCATCACGGTAAGTGCAAAAAACTGCAGTTCCTCTAATGGCCACTTGAGGCTGGCTCCAGAAGTGAGTCAATCCCACGTTAAAATGCCCAACTTGACGGCAGAAATAAACATGTTCCTAGCCTGGTACAAAAAACAGTTTCGGTCGCTACAGCTAATTTCCTCCTTCATGACAACTGTGTGGGGGTGAATTTCTATATAACTCAACCATTTACATTTTATTGAAGCTTAAAATTACGCATAATTAAGGGCAGGTCGCATTGAGTGACAGGCTGTCTGTTCCCTCGCTCCTCCCCAGCGCCAGCCTCTTGCCCAAATATGGTCACTTTTGGGTCCAAAAAAAAAATGAGATGGCGATGGCCAAAATGTCAAACTTCAGGCTTCACAATGGGAGTCCACAAACCGATGGGTGACGTCATGGTAGCTATGCCCATTATTTGCACAGTCTATGATTTGTACACAGGTGTAGATGCCTAATTATGTTTAATAAAATGCTTCCTTTATGCTTCTTCAAATACTCCTGCACGTGGGGGCAAGCGAAACATTTGACATTTAGTGTTTCAATCAATATTATGACTCTAAAATTGCTTGTAAAAACAACTGATGAATGTTAAGAAAGTATAACAGGTTTAAGTTACCTACATAAGTAACTTAACAGTCAAATAGGTTTTTGAGTAATAAACTTAAAATCAAGTAAGAACTGTGACCTATGCAGTATGGGGTTCACAGCATTTACAAACATATCCTCATGATTTTTGCTACTTCCCACTAATATTGCAGAAGAGTGTTCCTTCCACTGCACAGGAAGTCAAGAGAGTATTTCACTGTGCCATGGAAACCCAACACCAGCCACCTTTGTCTCTGACCACAATAGAGGCACTTGCTACCCTCTCAGCTTCTCATCTACTTTGCACTGTGTACACAAAAATGTGATTTGATAACAATGCAAATCCTGTTGCATATTGAAAATGAAGTGAAAAACCAATCTGGGAGCAAACTACACAGTAGATGGACCAGGGAGGAAAAACTCACAGTCAACCAGGAGGGTGTTGGGCTGCAGCTGCGGGTGGAGTCTTCCGTAGGCTAGGCTGTCACTCATGTTTTTACGTGAAGACAGAACATTCATCAGCACCTGTGAAGGATTGGAAAACAATAAGATACATAGAATAATACAGAAAGAAAAAAAAATTGACATTGCTGGAATAAAATCGAATTATCAACATTGTTTTTAATAAATTCCTCCAATGATGAAATAACCTGTGTGATGCCACTGAGAGCTTTCTCTCCATTGGAAGATCCAACAGCTACATATGTGCCACATAACCCCACAGCAGGCCTGACGGCTGTAGGCATCAGGAAGGACATGGGCCTCTTCCCAGGCTGGAGGCTGTTATGCTACAGCAACAGAAAACAAAAACCATGAGGGCTGAGAGCAGCTAGAAGAACTCTTTCAATAAGGCATCAATTAATACCGCAATCAATTATACACAAGAAAGTATGCACAGTTACCAGGTTATGTGATGAACCCTGTGTTTTATTAGGCCAGGAGAAGTCCAGGATCTGGCTGTTCAAGAGGATTCCTGAAGGAGTCACTATCCCACTGCCAAATGGTTTGTTTAGAGAGCTAAAACAGCAGTAAAAAAAAAATTTTAGTTTTCCAGTGTTGTAAATCAACTCTTAATTGTCACGATATGCTCAAACAATGTGCAATAGCAGCTCAATTAAAGCATGACATGCCTCATGACTGACACGATGTGGTCGTCTGGGCCCATGACCATGACTTGGGCGGCTGCTGTACCCTTCTCCAGGGTATATGATGGAGTGTAATGGCTGATAGGGAAGGCCTGAGAGTCGTTGATCATCTGGCGGAGTAGAGAAGCCTGTGGCTTACTTGGAGATGGGAACAACAAAAGGCAGAGTTAAGGAAAAATGCCTTATTGTATTAAAATGAATATATACATTAAGTGTATATATTCATTTTAATATATATATATACATTAAGTGTTTAAAGACGATACAGGGATGTCTACCTCTGCATCTTGTCGACAATCTCTGTGACAGAAGTGTCATACATGGGGTCTCCCAGCCCACTAGCCAGGCCAAGAGCTATCTTTACAGCCTGAGAGAGAAATGCAAAATTAACACTTAAGTAAAACTCCTACTGCACTTTGCACACTGTTACGCTGTATGGCGGTGAAGCAGTTAGCATGTACTACCTCTGCGATCCAGTGGTAGGTGCTGTTCCTGGGCACCTGGCTGGTAATGTTGTAGCCTTCCAGGATGTTAAGAGCAGTGATCAAGGCAACACCTGCATGTGGCGCTGGGGCTGCCATCACTTGGTGTCCTTCAGGAACATCAACAAATCAGACGGTTAAAAATATGGGTATAGTATATCCATTATATAAATGGAACAATGTGAGGAATAAGGAAATTCAATTATACACATAAACAGGATGGGGGTCACGTCTGCTATGTTTGTACTCCTGGGTCAACAACAGCCCATGCTTATGTAAAATACAAAGTATTCAGATGTGAAGGTGTATACCATTCCCTCATTTCAGCCTGTGACAGTGGACATATCTGACATATTCATGTATCATATATGAGCTGGGAGCTGACCTGTATCGCTGACTTATCTTTGTAGGGAGCAGATGAAGTGGTGCAATGTGTTGGATAAAGGGGATAAACAGGGCAAAATTAAGTGTAAGCAATAAAAGGTGGTGAAGTGAGTTACGGTGTTAAGGTTTAAATGAGGAGTTGGGTGGGTCCCTCACAAAAACTAATATGACAACAACTTGGATTTGAAGTGGATGACAGAAGTGTCCTAAATAACTGCTAGAGATGCAGCGCTGGCGTTTTGAGCTTAACTTTGTTGGACATTGTGTTTCTATTTATATTTGTCACATGCTTTTAACGCCACAATGGGTAAGGAACGGCTGATTCGTGAAGCTGAACTGAGGAATAACCAATAATACAAAAACCAATATAAGGTGACAGGTGGCTGGAGGAAGATCGTCAAGGAACTAAAATCTTCTATTATGAGGTAAATGACCATTGCTAAAAACATCCTACTTGCTCCTGACAATACTTTGTGTCATTTCCAGTAAGTATAACAATATATAATGTGTTTTCTGTCTAAAAAGTAAATTTACCAATGTAGGAAGATAGCCAGGAAGCTGCTCAACTATCTTTTAAGTGGTTAAGCTCCCAGACTGATCTCCAGCGCACAGCTAATATTTAGGCCTGCCTCACAAGGGTTGTTTATATGTTTATATGAAGAGAAGTGCATATTTAACACATGGACATACAGCTCCGTCGTATGCAATGTGACATGATAGTAGGACGCTTGTTGGCTGTTAGAACACTCAGGAGCAGCTGCAGAGTCAAGTGCGACCTCATCCACTCTACCTCTGAACAGGCAGTCCATTCATTTGAATGAGGGAAATACCCCTGAAAATATTTTCTTTTTTATCAACAATTCAGCCTAGTCCGTTTTTCGCTGATGTAAATAGTACAACAAAGACTGACCTTGATAGGTGACCTCTGCTGGTTGCTGTAAGACTGTGCTGTAGTTTGCAAAGTCGTCCTCTGTGAGCACTCCGCCTCTTGCTTGCACCTATTGAAAATGCATCTTTAGTGTAAAGGTGGTGGGTAATTTTTGTCCTGTGTTCTGTCATCACTCACAGGGTAATTTCATTGTCAAAAATATTTCAGTCATCTGACCTTCGATGGATACCTGATTATATTCTATGACTTTACCTTCTAGGTCACAAATTTATTCATAATCAAACAATGCTGAGGTGTAAATTGTAATCATTAAACACTAAGTCCGATGGCGAGCATGGTACAGAGCATTCCATAATCTCTGACAAGCATGAGGAGACACTAGCTGTGTCTCAATTCAGGGGCTGCAGTCTTCGAAGGCTGCATCTGAAGACCGACTGCGTCACATCGGTGTGACCGAGGCTGTCCCATTCCGAAGTTTCCTTCAAATGCGGCCAAGAAATGCAGCCGTCTTTCCAAGAATTTGGCAGATGCAACAGATGAATCCTTCGTGGCCCAGCCTATCCCAAGATACTTTGCGTGCAGGTGACGATTATATATTAAGTTAATGTTGTTAACATTACTATTAGCTAAAGCACACAGCTTAAACAACCTTAATTTAATAAGTTTACCTGAAAAGAATCCTCCATGAGCCTGAAATATATCAAACGGCGGCGTCTCCAGCGGTGAATCATCTCCTCAAATACTGAATAAAAAAAAAGATATATATATAATAACAATTCCTGGGTCCACGATTTAGGGCTAACTATCTTATTAGCTTACTCCTTCTGTCAAGCGCAACTGCCTGCTAGGTAAAAGGAATGCCAACGGGTTAGGGCGAGAACAACTGGTGATGCAAGCAGGTAATCCTCCACAGACCAGACCGTCCTTTTTTGGAGACCATTCGGGTTGGCTGATGCGGTCTTCAAAGGACGAGGGTGACATAGACTGCGAAGGCTGCAGCCCCTGAATTGAGACACAGCTACCGTCCCAAAATCTAAAAACTTTTGGATATTCCCATACAATAAGCAAAACTGTGCCAGAAACTCCCTGAGGGCAGAGCATGCAATTTGGGGATTGTCTGGGTTTTCATCAGAAATAATTTGTGAACTGTGCAGTAAGTTCTCAAAACAAAATTAGAATGGATCATCTGATGATTTGGACCAGACTCTGACCAAACTAATACCTATGTAATTAAATGATACATTTTTTCCCCATAAATTGGAAAAAGGCCAAAGACCACACCTTGTGTGTCCACACTCCAGTACTAACAATGTAATTGATGCAACGGTTATTCTTGCCCCCAGGGGATTCCATAAGCACATGAGGTACATGGGATCTGCAAATAGAAGAAAAATTAATTTGCCAGTATATTATACTGCCCCCGTATGTCCTGAAAGTATGGATGATTCATTTGGTTGTTGAGTCTCAAAATAAAAGACAAAGATCCTCCACAGTATGTCTCAGAATATTAAGAGATTAAGAAGATTACAATCCATTTGCGTGACATCACAAGGTGACCTGTTGTAATGTCTTTCTCTCTTTTCTTACACATTACACTCGCTGTATTTTTATACCGTATTCTTGTTTTACTAAGCACTAATATTCAGCAGTAGTAAGAATATTAACACTCTAAGAGGAGACACAACGACATACACACAGTGACCTTCTGCATTAGGTACACCAGTACAATATAGTGAAATTCAATACAGCAGCTCTGCCATAAATTCTACATTTATAAAGTTTCTGATGTTCCAATTTTGTTGACATGGTCAGAAATGTGGAAATTCATTTTTTATGTTTACTACTGAGGTCATACTTAAAGATATAATATGTTACTTTTCTGCATTAAAATGTCTAAAAAGACTAATTTCATATGTTTTGTTGAGTTGGGTACATTTTTGACAATACCCAGAGAAATCTATATTTCTTTTTTAAAGATTATTTTCAGGCGAATTTTGCCTTTAATGACAGGACAGGCGTAGATAAACAGAGAGAGAGAGGGGATGACATGCAGCAAAGGGCAGCAAGTCCAAATCAAATCTGGGCTGCTGCAAAAGTTTAAGTCTAAATGGGGCGCACACTCTAGAAGGTGAGCTAGAGGTCGCCCTGAAATGTGTACTTTTAATCGAGGACACAGTCCCTGTCATGTGGTCACCGTTGCCTATCAGTGGAGTCATATCCCCTTAACGTTGTTTACCAGAAGCTGCCATAAATTGACTTTTTATCCAGTCATAAGCCAGATGTTTTACAATACACTTTTTAGATCTTGGTCGTTTTAACTGTATGAAGTATTTTAGTTATTAGACGTCTGAATCTGAAGTTATTAGAGAAACAAGCTGAGCAAATGTTAGCAGCAATGCAGCTCCAGCTCCTGCCGTGTCGAACAGTGTCGGAGAAACACTGATTTTTAATGTGAAACTGCTTTATTCAGGGCTTTTACCAGCAAATCACTGAGTCCATTTGCTGTGGAGAGGAGGGGACCTCTGCAGATAATTCAGCTCCATGTAAAAATATCCTGAGCATCTGGATGTTTAGTTGTAAGAGAAAAGAGGTGGCATACATTGGCAGGATCTGGGCTAGCAGCCAACCTGGAGAAACACTGATTTGTTACGTCAAACTGTTTCATTATGTGTTTTTACCAGTTAAAGTCACCTGGTTTGTTTGTTACAGAGAGGAAGACACCTGTGCAGATAATGCAGCTGCCGGTAAAAACCTCCTGAGCACTGAAGCGCTCCTAATGGGGGGGTAATGACTGGCATTGCACCATCTTTGTTGTCTTTTCGATTCAGAGACCCCATAGCAGCAAACAAATCCATATTCTAAGTTTAAAGGTGGTGTTGTACTGGAGTACATTACACTGTGAGTTGTTTCGAAGCTTTGGTCCTTCCTATTTACATATATGAGGGGGGCAGAATATTAGACACACCTCTCAATATAATCGTCTGTACAGGTGTACCTAATAAAGCGGCCACTAAGTATGTAATACATGACACAGTAAAATGCAGTCATTAATTCTGACTGATAAATATTTGGAATCTATGTTTTTAATCTATATTTTGGAATCACAGACACAAAGACACAAAGACAGTTCTGCCATCTGAAACCTGAACATCTGAAATATTTGAACAATCATTAAAATAATAAGAGCAATGCGAAGAACTAATGATTAAATAAAACCAAATCTGGCTTCATTTTAACGATTTTTGTATAACAGGGACTAAAAGAGGCTCCCCGTGGATCTATGCAGAATTCATGACTACTTATATAATCAGAGACAGGGTGAGGAAAAAAAAACATTCTTCCTTACTGCTGCTGCCATTTCCTGCGTCAGGTTTCCACTGTAGAACTCTGATATCCCCTTTACTGCGACAGCATCTAAGATGGCTGCTAAATCAAGACGCCTGGTGAACAGCCCGGAGAGGGGAGCCTGGCCGTTGGGGAGGAACAAATCCCGAAATGCATCCGACACATTTTGGTCCTTAACTTTAGCCAGAGCTTCGGCTATGGAGAGAGATATGAAGAGAGAGAGGAAAGGCGGTGGATGAAATCACAACCACTGTTCATATTACTTCACCTCATGTTGTGAGAGAATTCTGCCGTCTTTTAATCGCAGCATCACTAGTGACGGTGACTTCGCAACGTGACGCTATACGCACCTAGGTCATGAGTCACATTGAATCCGTTTCTGGCCACGTCGGCTGCCATGGTAACCACATCCTTCCATGGCATTCTGGGGGAATTTAATGGTCATGACAGATTGGCTTAGTTTGGAGATGTTTAAAACTCATATACAGTTCTGCTCATAAAGGATGAGTGATCAGGGGAAACAAATTTCTTTTACACTTAATGGGATTCAAATTAAAGTATAAGACATCACAAAATGGCACAGTAACAAAACACAGCATTAAAGAAAATACTGAGATGGTCCCTGTTCAAATGTTTACATATTCTTAGTTCTTAATAGTATGTATTGCGGGTTTAGCATCAACGACAGCTTGCGGTTAGGGATGTATCGGCACCGTTCACGTTATTTTTACAAAATCAGAATCGGTAATAAAAGATCGGAGGAATCAAAACAACAAAAATGGCCAGGTTTGTCATCTATGTTGTTCATTGTTGCCTCCGCTTTCCGATGTATTGTAACCGAGTGTCCTGGGTTTGCCTAACTGAGTGCGGCTAATGAGCAATAAATGGACAGGAGTCAAGACAACAGGTTCAGCGGCCACCGCTTCTCTCTCTATTCCGAGCAACACAGCCACACCTTACGGCAGAACCTTGCCTACCACAGCCCTACGGCAACTCTGGAGGGACAACTTTTTTACAATTCAGAATTTGTTTACATTTTGTGCTGCTGAACCACCGATAAGCTTTTTGGATACTATTTAAATAAAAAACAAACCTTATGGGACAACTTGGATGCATTCTTTTCTTTTCTTTCTTAATGCTTTGCAAAGTATCGGATCGGACTTGGTGTCAAAATAAAGGACCCAGTATCGGAACGGATGCAAAAAAATTGTGATCGGGACATCCCTACCCGCGGTCTTTTGTAACAGTTGTAGAAAAGGCCCTGTATTTTTCTCAGGTGGTAAAGCTGCCCATTCTTCTGGCCAAAAAGCCTCTAGGTCCCATAAACTATTGGGAATTCTTGGATGAACTGTAAGTTTGAGATCTTCCCAAAGTGGCTCAATGGGACTGAGGTCAGGAGACCTTCACTTTTTGCTGCTGTAGCCACTGAAAGGTCGACTTACGATACGATACGATATGATATACCTAGCCTTGTGTTGTGATCATTGTCATTTTGGAAGGTCCAAGTGCGTCCCATGTGCAGCTTCCAGACTTATAAATGCCTATTCTTCCCCATTTTTTTCTGCTTCATTCACTCTGGAATTAAGTTTGACTACCACCCCCCAGTGGGGTTGGTGCACTTTTCTTCATTGACCTTGTTGTCTCCTCTTACACAGGATCTGTGGTCGTGAACAAAAGGTTCATTTTTGGTCTCATCCCTCCAAATGATTTTGTTCCAGAAGTTTTGAGGCTTGTTTAGGTGCTGTTTGGCATATTGTAAGTGAGCCCCTGGGGTATGTAAATTTATGAACACAACTGTATACACTCATTACACCTCATTTTCAAGGAGATTATTGTGCCATAGTAATAATCCACAGAATTTTCGCTTGACACGATAGGGCATGTTAGTCAGCTCTGTAACATCCTCCTACCAGCTGCGGTATCATGATAATTACACAGCATCACAGTAATAGCAGCCCAACACAACCCCCAAACAATGTCTTTTCTTTTAACACAGCTGGTGATGCTTTCACTAAGGAGAGCCTACATCTTTAGCTCTCAGAGCTGACGTAAATATAAGCCTTTGCGATTCGTGTCTTGAAATAACTTGTCAAAACGGAGGAAAATAATAGATGAGGTTAAATTTATAGTAGGCGTTTGAAACATGGGAGTGCCATAAAATGAAACAATATCAAAGGAAGGAATATAGAAAATCCAGAAAACAGCATGAGGACAGTGACTACATGGCATGGCATGTGGAACAATTAAAGAAATATAAATAGCAATACATGATGAGTACCGTACCTGCCGTAGAGCTGGTGTGCCTGATGCAGGCCACTGAGCATGCCTGGTACTGCCACCAGCAGGCCGGGCTGACGTGCGAAAGCAAGAACAGGGTGCACACATTAACCACATTATAAAACAATAGCAATACGATTGTGTTCTGCTCTTATACTCAACATCTCGCTTACATTTAGATCAAGATTCGGCTGCAGCATATCCTCATGGATGGCAGATGGTGCCGTCTCTCTGAAGTCAATGACCCTCGTCTCGTTTTTACGAATGTCGTGCACCAACATAACTCCACCGCTGAACACCAACAGAGCATAAAGTATCTTAAGGTTCTGCATTCAACTGAGTCCAAGGATGTCAGAGGTTAGTGAGATTAATATGTTTCTACCACTCACCCTCCAATACCAGACGTGTGAGGGTGAACAATCCCCAAACAGAGGGCAGCGGTGATGGCAGCGTCAACACTGGACCCGTGCTTCCCCAAAACGTCGAAGCCAAGAGATGTACACTGTGCCACATCTGTCACCACTGCCCCTTGGTTAAAGACCTTGTAAGAAACACGAGAACAAAGCGGGAAGATACGATCCATCAATATGCCTTTGAACTGACTTGAGTCTGTGTGGAAGGATACCTGGTGGAGTATGAACTCATGATCCCATAATCACCTGTAATTATATGACCAAAGCAACACTAATCCAACATGGCTACAAAAGTACAACTGCAGGTCACACACATACCTGTGGGTCTCCAAAGTAGATCTGCATGATGAGAGCTACAGTGACTCCTGTGGCGAAGGTGAGACAAGCTGTGATGATGACCGTCAGTCCGTCTCGCTGACAGGCACATTCTTCGGTAAAGGGGTCTCTGGTCGTCTCCCGCAGGGACGCCATATCGTGGCTGGCCAGGTCGGAAGCTGAGGAGGGGAGACGCTGGAGGCGAGCCGACTTCAAAAACAGATCTGGGTCTGGGACAAAAAACACAAACCAAAAGGCTTGGATTGAACAGGAGGGAGTAATATGTTCTGTTCCCTCACACCAAACGCTATTGTAAATTGAGTCAGTTTAAAGTGGCCGTGCTTACTGGGAAACATAAGAAAACATGTCTGGATTCTGTATGCATGCAACTACTATTTAAACATATAAACATTTCAGTAATTTGTATACAAAAAGGATGGAATAGCTTCATGTTTCATATACGATATTAAATTTAAATTTAATATTAAACAAAACACGACATTCAGGGATATGACCTTGGGCCTTGGGAAGCTGACATTTTTCGCTATTTCTTGACATTTAACAGACTAAACGATTTATCGAGGGAATAATCTGGCAAGTAATTGATCAAAAATAATTAATAGTTGAAGTCCTTGTTCAGATTAAACCTTTAGGAATGATGAGCAGTGACTAAAAAGACAACGCCGCTTCCTGAATCCACATCTGGAAACCTAAACACACTCAACTCTCTGGAAGGTAGATCTTGCAGTAAAACTGTGTCTGACCTGGCTGACTTACCTGTGTCTTGCTCACTCAGGACGTTGTCCTCATCTTTGCGAGATTTCAGGGTGTTTTCCCCTGACAGCGCGTCGTCCTCTGGCAGCCTGGGGAAGCTGGTGATGCTCATGTAGTCCACTGGAGAGTAGGCACTCCCCAGGGTTGTCTCCGGGTTGACATCTTTATCCACCACACACCCACTTGGGTACCCTGCCACAATTTCCGGAGCAGGGCTGTGCATGGCTGCTGTTGATCCTACAGTTAACCTACCTTTATCTCTAGGGTGTGTGAAGGAGTCAGGGCAGGATATTCATATTTCACATTTGTTCCTTGCACACCTGCTACTGTCATCTAGATGAAAAAATCCCTGTAATACGCCTTTATGGACCACTAGTGTTGCTGTGGTGCTGAAGAATTACTTCATCTTCTTGATAGGATCTTTAATATCCCAGTATATCACAATCTCAGCACGGGGATTTGTAGGAAGGGTATGATATGAACACACAGACACACTTCCACTTCTTAGGAAATGTTTCTGATAGGCCAAGACACGGGTGTGTTGCTCCGATGATGATGCATTTTTCCAGTCATGCAGGCTGCCACCTGCAGAAGATAATAAACATGTAGGTCAACAAATTCTTGCCAGGTAATTTCCTTCGAGAAGCATATTTGTCTGAGCCGTGTGAGAGGTTGCGTCCTTCAGGTGTTAAACTTGCACGGTCACTGCACCGTGTCAACACAGCCAACCGCAAACACAAACGTGAGACGGAATGTCTACGTCTGTCTGTCTGTCTTTGGCGCATAAAATGCATACAGTTAACACATTTTACGTTTTAAAAATGACAGAATTGATACGGTTTACAACACAAACACAAAGCCAACCAACCCCGAAGCGCTAACCTGCGTTTGCCGTTTGCTCACGAGCACGCGCTGACACAAGCTAACATGTACCCGTTAATTCCGCCTCGGCTACAAACGGCTAAAAGTGACGTCAGCGGTACTTACCGTTGTCGGGAAATAGGTGTAGTCACATAAAAAGCATCCTTAGCGGTGTTATTTTCTTTCTTATTAATTTGAAGATGGCAGGTGAGGGCGAGATGAGTACGGCTCCCCGTCACCAAGACTACTGGAGCTTCTGAATCACGACACCAATCGGCATGGAAGTTGGTTTCACGTTACCAGGTCTTGGAAAAACCGGTACGACTCGTCAGGGGGATTGTCCAACTGGTGTTTAAGCACATAGTTTTGCTGTGGCCCGAGGACAATAGCAGCTGGGGTTAATTTAAATCCATAACTCACTTGGAAATATTCTTAAATTGCACGTATTTACAAAGAAGATGTTGGCTGTTGGCTGCACCAATATCAGACTAACTTCACAATAGAAGGCGTTGTGCACACACTGCATGTCATCCCAGCTGATGACCTGACTTCTGCTGCACAGGTGCTTCAACCCATTTACAGTATTATGACAGTACATGATGAGAACACCATCCCAGAAGCCTTCCAGCGCTCTCTGCTGAGTCTTTTATTACTGTAGAAACGGATAGACAGCTTAAAGCGAGTCTGTAGAACACCTGCTGCAGTTATAAACGTCCTGTCCCTCCCACAAAGTATTTTCTTTCCTCCTCATTTCACCTGCATATTATTAACAGTCTCAACTGACATATGCGTGTGATAGCACCCCGCCCTTGCTTAGTCTACACGGGCTGCTGTTTACTTTCCATCACCACACCCCTCTGTACACCTCTTCTCTTTTTTGCATGGGCCTACTGTAAACAAATGCTGTTTTTACACCTTCATATGCAAGGTGGACAGCACAATACATGCACTTTACTTAAGTGCTACCATTTTCTGAAACTTCTACTTTACTCCAGCTTACTTTGTATTTTACTTGACCTAATATTGTATTTTTGACCCCACTATTTGACAGCTTTAGGCACTTTGGCCAGTTTATAAACTATCATTTCCTGTTTAAAATTTAACTAAATGTACCGTAAAATCTCAATCGATGAACTCAACAGGCTTATATTTGGGACAGGCGTCTATATCCTCCCGAGACTTGAACTTTAGTTTGGTATGCATTTTTAATTTCTTCTGGCTATTTGGGATCAACAGGACCCAGTAAGTATATCAAAATAAACATTGTCAGTAATAATAAAGACCCAGTGTCCTCAAATGAGACGACAATAAAGTCACAAGGTCCTCAACGAGACAATAATAAAGTCCTAATATTCTCAAATGAAATGATGATAAAGTCCCAATGTCTTCAAATGAGACGATAATAAAGTCCCAGTGTCCTCAAATGAGACAATAATAAAGTCACAGTGTCCTCAAATGAGATGAGCTGATGATAAAGTCCCAGTGTCCTCAAATGAGACGATAATAAAGTCCCAGTGTCCTCAAATGAAACGCTAATAAAGTCCCAGTGTCCTCAAATGAGATGAGATGATGATAAAGTCCCCGTGTCCTGAAATGAGACGATAATAAAGTCAAAATGTCCTCAAATGAGACAATAATAAAGTCCCAGTGTCCTGAAATGAGACAATAATAAAGTCAAAATATAGTAGACTGTAGACTGACTTGGCAGAGATGGCTGCCATCTTGTTTTTACCTGGATTAGTGTATTGTGCTCTTGCTACCATTAGATGGCACAAAAAAAAGTCCACGAATGAGGACAGGCCTTAGGTAATAAGAATGAAGTATAATGTCAAGTAAACCCAAAATGTAATGCCCTCATCTGAGGACACAGGGTCTCAGAGGGATATAGGACAGGCATTTAATTCCTTTCACACAAAACTGTTCCTCAGCAAAGATGGGAAATACGATCAAATTGTTAATTTGAATCAGTATGAATATTACTTGTGTATAAAAATTAATTAATAATTAATAATTATTAAAATGAACAGAGCTAACAATATGTAGCATCTCTATACTGACAAAAGTTTAAACACTTTTATTTATATCTAATCTAAGTAGCTGACTAACATAAGGTCAAGTGAGCAGTCAGCAACCAGGTTTTATACATCCAAAGAACTTCTATAAAAATGAACAGCTTGGCAACCAGACCAGGAGTCTCATTGAGACAGGCCTTTATTTGTCAAAATATGTAGCCACACCAGGCTAGTAAAAGGGACTGGGCGTCTAATTGGGACTAGGGGTTTTATGGTATGTAAACTAGTGTGTAGGATCAAAATTGCCCTGTAGTGACATCTAGTGGTGAGTTTGCAGAACTGAAACTTCTCCAGTGTGCAAAGCAGCCCCTTACATGGGGCCATCTTACATGTGCTGCTCCTTTGAGGTCTATCCACAGATTCTTAATGATGTTTAGGTAGGGGGACTGTGAGGGCCGTGGCAAAACCTTCAGCCTGCGCCTCTTGAGGTAGTCCATTGTGGATTCTGAGGTGTGATCTTTGCCCTGGCCAAGAAGCCGCCCTCTCTTCATCTTCAGCTTTTTTACAAAGGGTGTGATGTTTGCTTCCAGAATTTGCTGGAATTGAATTGAATCCAGTCTTCCCTCTACCTGTTAAATGTTCCCCGAGCCACTGGCTCCAACACAATCCCAAAACATCAACCCAACACCGTGTTTAACAGTTGGACAGGTGTTCTTTTCGTGAAATTCAGCACCCTTTTCCCTCCAAACATACCTTTGCTCATTGCATCCAAAAAGTTCGATTTCACACCATTCGGCAGGTACACCAAATGGAGTATATAACATATAAAATGAGGGGGAACCCCAAATTACATGAGTTAAGATGGGCCAAGTGGTCAACCTACTACAACTAACTTAATCATAATGCTATAGCTGTGATTACCTTTTTGTCTGTTTGGTTTTATTTTATTTATCTATTTATTTATTTTATTTTATTTATTTTTTGTTCTGTTTTTTTCTCGTTTGGCCATTCGCTTGTGTGTCCCTTAGGGGTATGAAATATATTTATATTCTATAGTCTTTGTGTATATGTAATTGTTTTGTTTTCCTTTGTTTATTTTCTTTCTTTCTTTCTTTCTTTCTTTCTTTTTTTTATTTCATTTATTTATTTACTTATTTATTGCTGTTGTTGCTGTTATGCTATTTATGTTGTTGTTGGTATGTGATTTTTTTTTTTTTTTTTTTCCCTTTCATGTGCATGTTGCTTCATGTGTACGTTTAGGTTGTTGTTGATGTTGTTGTGTGTTTTGTTTTTGTTTGTTTTTTTTTGTTTCTCTTCTCAAGTGTACATATGAATACACAGACACATGGTGACTTTAAAAAAATAAAGTTTAAAAAAAAAAAGTTCGATTTCAGCTTCATCAGTCCACAGGACTTGGCTTGTTTAGATGTTCCTTTGGAAACCTCTGATGCTGAATTGTGGGTTGAGGACGGAGGAAAGGTTTCCCTCTGATGACTCTCATTAAGACTCATGAAGGTCATACAGGTGTTGCTGCACAGTAGAACAGTGCACCACCAGGTGTTTTGCAGTCAAACAGGGGTTTTGATTTGCCTCTCTAGCAATCCTACAAGCAGCTCTCTTAGAAAGTTTTCTCGGTCTTCCAGACCTCAACTTGACCTCCACAGTTTCTGTTAACTACCATTTCTCAATTACATTACAAACTGAGGAAACAGCTACCTGAAAACAGTTTGCTATCTTCTTATAGTCTTCTCCTGCTTTGTGGGCATCAGTTATTTTTCAGAGTGCTAGGCCCATGGCTGCTGATTGTTGGGACAATGTTTCAGGAGTCAGAATACATATAAAGCTTTGAAATTTGCATTTCCTGGCCTTTCCTAACGATGACTGTGAACAAGCCAAGGCCCTAACAAGTTAAATAAGGTCTGAGACCCTGTTAAAAGCTGTCTGAGAGCTCAAATTTTGGGGTGCCCAAATTTTTGTATGGTGCTCCTTTCATTTTTTTTTTTCAAAATTGTACAATACAAAAGTAAAACACTGATCTTGCTTAAAATGCTGAAAAGCATGTTTAATCTTTAACTTCATGCCCTTTGGAGATCAGTTCATCTTCTACTTACTTGACCAGGGGTGCCCAAACTTATGCATGCCACTGTAAATATACCGGGTAATGAAAATACAGTGATTCTTATTTTCAGGTGATTATAAACTAATAAAAAACATAATTATGAATGTTATATACCATTTCTGCCAAAAGATGCCCCTAAATCCTACACACTGGCCCTTTACTTTAGCAGTAATAATTATCAAATAATATAATACATTTAAACACAACACTGACAGGGGCCATTTTGCTGCATAACTGTCAATACTTCAATCATCAATATTTTAATAATATTTTCATAATCATATTTTCCTGATAATACTTTTACTTAAGTACAACATGGCATGGCAATGATCTGAATACTTCTTTAAATCCCAGTCCCTCCTGCTCTCCCATATGAAAATAAAGACACAAGATTCAGGTGTTAACCTGAGTATTTATTGTTGTTGTAGGTTTTTTTTCTTTTTTTTTCTTTTTGGCGGGTACCTGTGTTTTCTGAATGGATGCTGGAAAACCCATCCGTTGATTTTGGATTTTTGCATAGGTCTTGCCTGTCAGTGGACGACCGTCCACTTTGGGGATGGAAAAAATCAGTATATCACAAAAACCATGCAGAAATAGTGAAAGGCACAATCACCATACTGTAGATATCAGATACACCAAATTTTATATGTCTATATATTTCATTTTTATGAGGGGATGGATGTACTAGTTGAGATGTAACATGGGCGAGAGCCCCAAGTGTTTTTAAGCTGCCATCATTTCAGGGCACAACATAAAACATATGAAACTCCCCAGACATTCAACACCTCTTATTTAAAATGTCCTATTGGTGAACAGCTGTTATAATAACTACATGGGAAAATACAAGCAGATTCTATTGTAGTTTTATGATACATTTAATTATTATAATTTTTTTTATAATATATAAACTATCTCCTGCCTCATCCTTTCCCTGTCCACATCATATAGGCTTAACACACCTGTTGACCACTTCCTCTCCCCATTATTGGATGACTTTCACTCTAAAATCACACATTTCAATAATCACACACGACATACTGAAAACACATTTCCTTTGTACGTGACACAGGTGAGAAAGAAAGAAGTAAAACTGAGGCAAACAGGACAGGTTTGTGGTGACAAAGGGGGTGTCTGTGGTGGTCTTTACATTTAGTACGCACAAACACACACACACACATTCACCCATGATCTGTCATTATTACCCTATTTTCTCTCCTATTTTATAACAGGCAAACACACCTCAACCTTGGGGACACACAGTCAGTTAGAAGAGTAAGCCTCTAGGGAGTGAGGAAGCCTTAAATAGAGATCACTGTGTGTGTGTGTGTGTGTGTGTGTGTGTGTGTGTGTGTGTGTGTGTGTGTGTGTTGGACTCCACAATTCAGAGGAATCAACAGGAAACATAATAGTTATCTTTAAACAGAATTAAATTATCATAAATTAGCAGATATTAACAGAGTCTAAATAAAACAATCATTTATAGGATTATTGGCAGAAATGAAAAAGTTGTGGTTTGTGGTTCAAGGGAAATCATGTTTTTTTACTTGCGATCTAAACCAGGCAAGACATTTCCATTTTTTTCAAACAATCTGACATGTCATCGTAATGTATCCTCACCAGCATCCATACAGCTAATGCTATGCTAAGTGGACCCTCTGGAGGGCAGTGTCTGCCTATGGCACATCAACTCTGAGTCTCGTGCTGTTTTTCTATGGTGCATCTCAAAGAGATGAGACAGAAGTTGGGGCAAAGACACCACTTTTGGCCACTGAAATGCCCTCTTGGTTTGATAATGAGCACAGAGGTGAGGCAGAGAGAGGATTCTCATTAGTCCCATCGGACATAACATTGTGGACTCAAGTCCTGAGAGGCTTTGACATCTAACAGAGCGTTATAAATTGTTTTGTAATATTTACAAGAGAAATAAATGACAATTATTCAT